ACCGGAGGATGTACTGCAGTGGAATCCGGCTGCAGACCAACACATGGAGACCAGTGGAGGCGGAGGACACAGGCTGCCGCAGCAGAGCACAGGTCCTGGGGCAGCGGAGGCCCAGGGCTGGAGGTCGGGCAGGAGCACAGGTCCTGGGGCGGCCGAGGCCCGGGGCTGGAGGTCGGGCAGGAGCACAGGTCCTGGGGCAGCCAAGGCCCGGGGCTGGAGGTCGGGCAGGAGCACAGGTCCTGGGGCAGCCGAGGCCCGGGGCTGGAGGTCGGGCAGGAGCACAGGTCCTGGGGCGGCCGAGGCTCAGGGCTGGAGGTCGGGCAAGGGAGGGAAGGGCTAGGGGCGACGGTGGAGACTCAGGGTGGGAAGTGAAGTTAGTGAGTGTTGACAGCGGCAGAGCCGTGGAAGGCAGCAAGGGCAGGATGCAGAACTCTGCGGACACTTTTTAAAATGGCACTGTCAATCTGTGAGTAAACAAAGGAAGACAGGAGACAGAGCTGCGGCCAGAACCTTCTGTGTCAGGAACAGCACCATTTCATTGATCAGGCCTGGCCCACCGGCTGCTCTGAAACCATGCAAGTCCCAGTCCTGGGTGGCAGAGGGAGGGGACAATGGAGGAGAACCAATCCTTGTACGCTGTTACGGTTCATCAACCAATCATTTCTAAACTGGGCAAGTCAAAGAAGCAACAGAATCCTAAGCAAACAGAGCTACGTCTCAGTAACTGACTTCAAGCTAGACCACGGGGTGAGAGTCACAAAAGCATCATGGTACGGACACACAGATGAGTGAAGCAGAACAAGGTCGGGAAGTGAGCCCACGCAGATACAGCCACCTGAAAAAGAATAAAAACCAGCCTCGTTAACAGCAGTGCTAGCACACTGCGAGTCCACTTACAGAAGACGGAAATGGACTCCTCGCTCTCACTCTGTACAAAACCACCCAGATCCATCAAACAGATCAAAGACCTGAAACTCTGAAAACACTTCAGGATCCAGCACAGGCCAGGATTTTCTGAATAAGGCTCTAACAGCTCAGGAAGTTAACAGCAAAAATCAACACTTGGGATTTCATCAAATTAAGGAGCTTTTCCACAGCCAACCAAACAATGACCAGAAGGAAGCAGCAACCTACAGAAGCAGGGGGGGGGGGGGAATCTTCTCCAGCTACTCATCTAGCGGGGTTAATACCCAGCTCACACAAAGAGCTCAAAAATCAAACATCTTAAAAAGAGCAAACGAGGACGTATGAACAGCCAGTAAATACGCGAGCAGACTCGGCAGCAGACACACCAGCTCTGGCCTGTAATCCTTGGAAGGCAGAGATCCAGAGTTCCAGTTTGAGGTCAACCTGGCCAAAAGTTTCCAAGACTCCAGAACAACAAAAACTGTTCATAAACAGGCAAGCATAAATTGTTCTCCAGGCAAAAAGTGCTGGTGGCTCACGCCTGTAATCCTAGCTGCTCAGGAGGCTGAGATCACGGTTCAAAGCCAGCCTGGACAGGAAAGTCTGTGCGTGGAATGGAGCTTATACCCCACACTGAGGGCCTTGTTTTATTAAACCCCTGTGGCGCAGGGCTTCCCAGGGCTCTGCTGCTGTGCTGCCTCTTCCCGCCGTGCCCCGGGTCTCCGGCAGACCGGGGTCCACCGGGACCAGACGCTCTGAGTTGGGTCTGCACCGTGTACCGTCTGCTCTGCCTTTCTCTGGGTGTTACGTGGGTGCCTGACACCCCGTAGTTAAAGCTGTGTGTTGTGTAACGCAGCTCTGCCACTCTCTCTGAAGCCGCTCAGATCTGCCTTGTTGACTTGCACTAGACAAAAATTAGTGAGCACCTGCTAGCTGCTACACACTGCCAGTGGTGGAGACCCGTTAGAGAGGCAGAAGCCGCCCCTCCTCTCCTGGAGCTCCTGTCCAGTCGGGGGAGCTGGCACACCGTCAGAGGATGGGGTCCTTTAAAAAGAGAACGAGGACGATGGGCGGGCCAGCCAGTTATTCTGCTCTTGCTGCCCTCCCCCTCCTCGGATTCCCGCCTGCGTCCCCAAGGACTGGCTCACAGTGACCCCCAAGTGTCTTCCTGCAACTGGACTTGGAGCGTGAATGCCTGCACGCATACGGTGAACGGGGTCCGCCCCGCAGGGAAAGCCCAGCGCCAGGCACCTGCCGCTCCACCGGCAGCCCCTGCATGGGAACAGAGGAAGCAGGCTGCTCCTGACAGGCCAGAACCTTCCAGAACTCAGTCCTAAGTGGAAGTCCCTTCTTCTACCTGGCTCAGAGCCCTGCCCTCCACCGCTCAGGCCCAGGACTAAGTGCATCCTCGCCCACGACACTGCTTCCTGGGTGTGTGGTCAGCCCCTCTCGGGTCCCCATGCCTGTACCCAGAACAGCAGCCCCCCGTTTGACCCCCGCTGCCCCGGGCCCGCGCAGGTGCGTGGAGGATCAGCGTGTCTATTGCTGCTCTTCTGTCCCTGTGAATATGGCGAGGGCTGTTCATGTCTCATCTGAATGTTCCCTGGCCTGCGCCCAGCTAGTCGGCGCTGGTAGGAGGTGGTACAAAGCCTCCCACGGAAGTGACAGTGTTCTCGCGAAATCGCCACGCTCTTCACAAAACTGCTGGATCCCGAGCTAGAGTGGATCATTTACAGACACTTAGATGATGAATTCAGAAACGACGAACCCCCAGCCTGTGGAATGGAAATCAGCACACACAACTGTGTTTAACTCAACGTGAAGGCCAACCTGGGGAGCCCACTGTGAGGGCGTCCCCGCAGAGCAATGGCCCGCGTGCCGGCGCCGGCCGCCGCCTCCCCGTCCAGGCCCATGCCGGAGCCAAGCACGCTCCCCAGCCCTGTCACACCAGACCTCACTTGCTGAAGGCGAGGGGCCAGGAAATTGGCTTGCAGCGAAGGCTGGAGTTGCGACAGGGCTTCAGGTTCCCAACACACACCACCATTACCTCTACCTCTCCATAGATCAAAGCAGCAGGGCCAAGCAACTGCAGACAGAAATCTCTGAAAGCTTTCTTCCTTGAAAATGGCTTATCTCAAGCATTCTGTCGCCGCAAAGGAGCTGACTATATATATAACCCCATCAGCTACAGGGATTATGATTGACATTAAGATGAGTCAGAGCCAGGTGCTGGCGGCTCACACCTGTCATCCTAGCTACTGAGGAGGCTGAGATCTGAGGATCACAGTTCAAAGCCAGCCCAGGCATGTTAGACTCTTATCTCCAATAAATCACTAGAAAACCGGAAGAGGCGCTGTAGCTTAAGTGGTAGAGCACTAGCCTTGAGCTGAAGAGCTAAGGGACAGCGCCTAGGTCCAGAGTTCAAGCCCTACGACCGACAAAAAAAAATAAAAATTTAGGGTTAGAGTGGGTGAGGCCTAGGGTTGGAGTTGTTAGGGTTAAGGTTAGAGTCAGAATTCAGGTTGGAGTTAGTGTTAGGGTTACACTCGGGGTTGGTAAATTCTGCTCTATCTTAATATCTCCTCCTTTAATCCTCACAACTCTCTTAGCGAACAGTTTTATCATCCCGGCTTAGCCTGAGCTCCAGTCCTTTGGACAAGACCCACAGGCTGTGAGGGGAGTGGTCCTCCAGCCGGGTCTGCTCGCCATGCCCCTCTGGGCCGCGCCTGACCGGGGCTAGACCCGCGTCCTGTGCCTGCTCAATGCCGTTTCCAGGACAGGGGCTTGTTCTCTCACAGTTCTGGACACAAACACTACAGTTGGTATCCTGAGGCCAGTCAGGGTGCGGCTGGACTGGACTCCCTCCCGAAGCTCCAGTGAAGGCCCCTGGATCCAGCTTGTCTTAGCGTGCAGCCACACCCCCTACTCAAAGCCAGAATCAGGTGGGTGGTGGTGGCTGTGGTGGTTTTGATATTGGGTTGTTTTAGGTTTTGGGGTGTCAGGATCTGATTCAAGGACTCACACCTGTTAGGCGTGCGCTGTGTCACTCAGCCTCACACCAACCTCCAGGGGCCTCCAGACCTCTTGGTCCATCTTCACTCCTCCTCCTGCGCCAGCCCCCTCCTCCCGCTGCGCCGGCCCCTCCGCTCCTACCTGTAAGGACACGTGTGCTTCCACTCGGGTCATGCAGAATAACCGCCTTGCCGCTCAACAAGTTCATCTGCAAAGATCTTTCTTCCAAGTCAAGTAGCATTTCAGGTTCCAGGGCTTGCGATGCGGCACCTCAGAAACAGTACTCGCCAAGTTCACATGTTTCTGCCCAGCGCGCCCTCCGGGGTCACACAGCACCTGTGCCACGGCTGTCTGTCAGGCCCTGGGGGGCTGGGTCGGGTGCCACGGCTGTCTGTCAGGCCCTGGGGGGCTGGGTCGGGTGCCATGGCTGTCTGTCTGTCAGGCCCTGGGGAGCTGGGTCAGGTGCCATGGCTGTCTGTCAGGCCCTGGGGGG